CACAAACACATCAGAACACCACTGTGCTCCTGTTCACCTGCTGCTATGACTGAATTATGCATGTTTCCACACACTTCCTCTCTACAGTTCATTATGTGTGATGGGCAGCCACAGGGAAAGTGGTGTGGTCATGCTGAGTGACTATTGTTATTGGTCAAATGCTGAAATTAAAGCTGCATATAAAACTTTATTAGCATCACACATTGTGACCATGCAAAGACGGTGGTGGGCACTGGTGGGAAGTTGATGACAGCAACGCACTTTTATTCACACAGTTAGCAAGAGCAAGTCAGTCAGAGTTTAACATTCAAGCAAAAGAAACATTTCAAAAAGAGGAATAGACATTTGTTTTACCAATCTGAATTCTGTATGAATTCATACTCTTCCTCTCTCTGCAGCTGCCAAAAGGGAAAACAGCGTGTTTTAAAACCATATTTACTGCATGACATTTGACTCCTGCAACTATTGCTTTGACTCTCTGATGAGACTGTGGTATCTTCTATTTACTTCATCATTGTATACGATGTATAGCTAAAGCCAGTTTCATTTTATTTGTTGTTTACTGTTTTTACTCAAATATGGCACACCCTTACAACCAGGAATTATGATTAACAGAGAGATAAATACATACAAAACACGTTTTTTCCATAATGCCATGTCATTAAACATACCTAGAGTTTGGACTTCCACTAGGAGTTGGTTCATTGCATTTAAAGAGACACACACACCAAAACGGAGCGTTCTGAGAGAGTTGGTTTATACATGGTCACAAACCTCCTCTGGTGCTTGATTCATGTTATATTTTGACCAAAGCACAGCACAGATGTTTCATATAGACCACAGGGGACTGTTTGAAAAGGTGGAGAAGGAGGAGAATATGTCCTCTTTAAGTAAGAGTGTTCTTGTGTCAATAAAGCAACATTTGACATTAAATGTTTTGTTTTTTCTTGCCTTTTCTTTGCCTTTGTTAATTTAAATAAATAAAGCATTTGATAAAATTCTGATAAAATAAGATTCTCTGGTAAAGGTTTACTGTTACTACTGGATACTAAATAAGTAGCCAACATATGGTAGAAAGGTACATATACAGTATGTAGTCTACGTCAAATAGTTGTACGTAGGCCTATACAGTTTTACAATTAATTAAGTTAAATAGCTAAATGAAATGGATTTTTTTCAATTTTTAAGTTATTTTTAGAGCATGATTATTTTATTGATTCCTCCTGTTTTTGGGCACATCAGGGCAGGTTAAAGTGATTGTGGACAGGTGTGTGAAAGAGGACACACAGGTTAAATAAAATAATGAACTTAATAGGAAAACAGCGGTCAGGTTTGTGTGATTGTGAACAAGATCAAGAAACGGTATAGGACATGTTATTTTGAATAGCCAGTTATGTCAAAGGGAGAGAGAAAAGCTGACGAAGGAGCTGAGGAAATGTGGGTTTGGAATTATAAGTCTTAAATATGAGTTGAATAATGAGGAAGGGTAATATAAAGCTTTGAATATATATAAAGAAACTGGACTTGTTAAGAGAATTTAATTTATTTATTCTAAGTATTTTAGATTTTTTTTTTTTATATATAATAGTAGGCTAATAGTATTCTGGCACAAACTCTAGCATAGTAGGTGACGTAATGCACCTTAAAAGCTAGTTGCCATCCGCCATTAAACAAAAAGATGAAGATGAAGTGCATGAAAGAGGGAAAACAGGAAGAAAAATGGAAAGGGACGAAGTGGGAAGAACGGGAGAGTGGCGTTTGTAGGCTACTGAAGACAGGCTACCTGCAGGGCAGAGTGAAACAAGCGGGACAGCGCAGGTGCCAACCGGACGCAGGGACGACCGGAACGAGAGGCAGACGACTTTGATTCAATGCTGACACTAAGCTAAGTAAAGGAAACTGTTCTGTAGTGTGTTTGTATGGAACTCAAGCTTGAAGCCTACAGACCATTTTCTCTACACTTAATGCTGCAGTTATGCATATTATCAACTCCTTTCTATCACCTGGTGTATTTCCCCACTGCATTCAAGCAACCTCTGGTCAAAACACCCACACTCAACCCAGTATGTGTGGGAATCACCAGAGGCCCCACGATACCATACTTTCACCATACTCGAGTCACAATTCAATATTATTGCGATTTTAAAAAGTTTGCGATATTGTTATTTAACTTTTTTAACTGCATATTATGTCCACAAAATTAAACGAAAGTTGACTGTTTTGTCGAATAAGAAAAAATTCTCAGTCTATTCATCTCACTTCAGTCTATTTATTTCTACACAATGAGAGTGGAGCCCACAGACTGACCCACACTGTGATAGAAGTCAAACCCTGTAAGAGGCTGCATGCACCTCTCACTCTGAACTGTTATATCAGTCTAATCGAGCTGAACTGAACACAAACATGTATGGATGACTGTACAATTGCAGTAATTTTTAACAATGCAACTTTTTCTAAATGAATTTGTGCAATCCCTTCAGCAATTAAAAATTTAAAAAGCATATTTGCTATTAATATAATAAAAATATTGACACTATAATATAGTGCCATGATGACACTATATAATATTGGGCGGCTGTGGCTCAGTTGGTAGAGTCATCGTCGTCTCTCAACCAAAAGTCGAAGGTTCAATCCCCCAGCTCCTGCCGCAACATGTCCGCTTGGGCGAGACACTCAACCCCGAATTGCTCCCGCTGCTATGCCAGCGGCGTATGAATACGTATGGGATTAGTTAAATATTACGATTTTCCCCCTCACCTCTACAACCCAGCTCACCCAGGCTGAAAACAACAGACTGGTTTCTCTTCTGCCCCAGTAGTCAGGCTTTAAGCTGGGTCAATCTGAGACTGCAGGGGTTGCTGTTTGGATGTAACACATGTTCCATGTTGACCATGTATTTGTAAATGTTACACACACTGAATTATGACAATGTGGGTTACATAAGAAAGGTGTTTTTATTTACAGCATTTGTAACTGTAAACACAACAGAAAGACAGTCTTGTATGAGAATCGGCATATAGTTCTGCTTTGACTGTCTGATGCGATACAACTGCGCTTACTTCCTGCAATACACAGGGAACAGGCCCAGTTCTTGACATATCAATGCTGCTACTGACACCTACTGGCCACAATGAATATTGCCCTGCAGGTACTTACAGCCTAAGCAGGTGAATCCCTCCTATTTTAAGTCACACAAATCATCTAAATGACATTTAACCAGAAAAATTATAGTGTGTGTGTGTGGGGGGGGGGGGGGGTTACCAATGTAACCTGAGACCTGAGACTGAGCCAGAGACCTGAGACCTGAGCCCAGAGACCTGAGACCTGAGCCTGAGCCCTGAGACCTGAGCCCAGAGACCTGAGCCCAGAGACTGAGACTGAGACCTGAGACCTGAGCCCTGAGCCCAGAGACTGAGCCCAGAGACTGAACCTGAGCCTGACCTGACCCTGAGCCCAGAGACCTGAGCCCTGAGCCCTGAGCCCAGAGACCTGAGCCCAGAGCCCAGAGACCTGAGCCCTGAGCCCTGAGACCTGAGACTGAGCCTGAGCCCTGAGACCTGAGCCCTAAACCTGACCCTGAGACCTGAGACCTGAGCCCTGAGCCCTGAGCAGAGACCTGACCTGAGACCTGAGCCCAGAGACCTGAGACCTGAGACCTGAGCCCAGAGACCTGAGACCTGAGCCCTTACCGACCTAATTGACGTCATCTGGAAAGTGATTGAGTGCACGAGGTTGCAGGGCTTGAAATGGTTCAGTAGGAATGGGACATCACTTTGAGACTCTATGTAACCATGAGAGCATGATGTCATGTGGAATTAGATCTTTTTTCTTTTTTCTTCACTCACTCACAGGCAGCCATTGCCCTTATAAAAAGTTCTTACTATAGGCTTTGTGTATTTCTCCGTTGTGGGATAAATAAAGCTTTATCTTATGGACTAATGTGCTCTCTGTCTCTCTTATTTCTGTTAACAGACTGGAAGTAGATTTCTAAAGTACCTGTAGTTTCCAAATAAACTTTCTTGGTAGACTGTAAATACAGCGTTGTTTCACCTTTCTGCTTATCTATCGTTTCGCCCTTGTTTTCCCGTTTTATGGCGTTTGTTTACCTCCTCTGTGTCCCGCCCCTCTCTTGCAGCCTGTAGACAGACAGACCCTTCTCCAATGTGAGGAGCATCAGGATGGAGGATGTGCACATGGGAGTAAAGCAGTGACGTGCGGTGAGGCCTCACCTCATGCTTTTTCAGTGCGGTTTTATGTCAAATTAGACTAAATATGTTATAAACACACGTGAAATACATTTCTTATTCTATGGAAAGTGATGACGTATAATAAAAGTGAATACAAACATTACATTGGTGACAAACAGTAAGAAAGCAAAAGGCATACGCTCGACTCAGTTTGTGAGGGATTGAACAATCTGACTCTATCTATTTTAATGCAGTTTGAATTGCCTCTGTATGAAATGTGCTGCACAAATAATTTTACCTTTCATTGCTTATTTATTAATAAATTAACTTTAGGATAGATAGATAGATACTTAATTTAACTATTTAAAAACGTAATTAATCCTGAGAGACATTGAAGAATATTTAACACCTGCAGCAGCTCTCACATCATGGTTTAACGACCATGAACTGATTTCACATTCTCTATCACAGTGGAACATTAAACATGCACAATTACCAATTATAACAACCACATGACTTAACATTAACATTATTAACACACTTTTCTTAACTGGACACTAACCTTCCCATGAGCCTTTGCTCCACAAACTGTCAGATCTCAGAGCGACCGTCCATTTGGGGTCTCTACAGTATAAAACCTTTACACAGATTAAAATGACACCTGTCCAATATCAGACCTCTTTTACAACTGCACAGCATCAAGGTACAGCAATGTCTGAATGGAGGTGGTGCACATTGATATAATAGCTGAAAATGATACAAGTCCTTACCTACGTGCATTTTTGTGTCAAATAAAATGTAGAATTCCAGTGGTGTAGTTACAGTGAAATGTCAGTTTTATTGTCACAATATTTATCAAAATAATAAATAAAAGGAGATGCCATTCATACCAGGAAGAATCATGTTTTCTTTCAATAGATGTGTGACTTTTTGCAATATAATTAATGTTCTTATTCATGATAGATTGTAAATAAGCTGTGCTTTTATGATCTTTATTATTATTATAACATGACATGAGTGATGTGAGCGCTGAAACTCACCTGACTGAACGCTCTTTTAGGAGTCTGTTTCTACACGTCGGACATTCTAAACGTTGTGATTTTGCTATTAAATTGGTGATACTGAGCAAGAGTAGTGTGTGGAATGTCTTTTCAACTTATTTTAATCTTACACACGACTTCAACCTGCAAAGCAGTTTGGTTTTCTGTATTTGACACAGGCCTCCGTTTTTTTAACAATAAATCAGTGATAAAAAGAGCAACACTTTTACCCTGCCAGTGATGGAAGAAGCATGTTTGTGCAGCCGCTGGTTTATGTGAACAGATCAAGACAGTCCTCCAAATCTGGTGCACTGCTAGACCCGTCACCATGGCAACAATCAGTCTGACAGTGCTGCTCTCTCTTCCGCCTCCGTTTATAAACAGTTGTTTTGTTCTTCTCTTCCTTTTGTTTTTCTCCCCCCTCCTCCTCTGCCTCCACTGTGTGAAGATGATCTTGTAGTTCCTGTGAGATTTCAGTATCAGGAGTTTGTAGTTCTTTGATTTGATCTCTGGACAGGGCTGACTGGAGATTCTGATGAAACCTTGAGATCACAAAAAAAAAAAAGAAAAGTCAAAGCGGGCCTGCAGCTTGTTTGATTTGAATTGAACGAGTAGAATTGGTGAGAAATGTCTTCTTTTGTTTCATAATAACTTTTTAAATAATGACTGACAGAGACGAGGCCGGTTAGCAAACTGACCTTTGTATCCGTCTAAGATTCTCCTCCATCTTTTTGTTTGCAATATTTGTTATGAAATGGATGTAGTCGTGGTCAACCAGGAGCTTCCCTTTACTGCTGAGAGGAACCTCCAGACCGTGGGTGCTACGGACCGCCTAGAGGAGGTCGAGTACAGCAAGGATACATTCACACCGCTAAAATAGTGCAAACAAGCAACTCATGCAGCGACTGACTGCATCGACTGCTTAACGCTTTATTGACAATTTAATGAAATCAAACAGCGCTGGCAAAGAAATGGGAGTAAATCTGTTTTTGCCACAATCAAAGTAAAAATAAATTCAGTAACAAAGCATACCGTGAGGATCTTTCCCGTCTTGCTGACAGTAAGACCAGAGTTTCTGAAGCCTGAGTTAATGGCCACTGAGTGCTGGAAAAGATACAAGATGACAAGTTATTGACATTATTCATCAGTTGGTATATTTTAGTGAAAATGCTGACAGATTCTCTCATTAGAGACAGATTGAAACCTCTGTTAACAACTTCTCTAAACTGAACAACTGCTGTCTGCTACTCATGCATCCCTGGAGTCAACTTGTTTTTTTACTGTTGGGCATATAGTGACAGCTCAGAGGAGCAATCTAAGTCCAGAGTATGTAGAAAAGATCCTTCATATTCCTGCTGAAACATCAATCCACCTCATACTTGTTCAAAGGTCTGTTGAGCATCTTTGAGTTTTTAAGTGTTATTTGTGTAGAGGTATGCTTTTAAATCATCAGTTTCTCATAAAACAGAAGCAGATGGCCAATGCCTACCATGTTTACTTCTCTTAAAGGCTTATGTGATTTTTTGATCCAGCAGATGTCACCCTTGAGCATGAAACCAAAACAACTTGCGCTGCATTGTTGTGTTAGCATGCTAATGCTAGTGATCTTTATTATGCTGGTATCTTCACACTGCATGTAAATGTACCTGAAATGAGCGTGATCTAGAAACACAGTTAAGCAGTGAGTACAGTATGTTATTCTTCTTTTCTCTAGTCCCTCAATTAAACAACTTTTATACACGAGGGGAGGAGTCAGCCGGCCGTCCTGGCGATGTAAACAAAGTGAAGATAGGACTCTGAAAACTCTGAAAACATCACAGACAGTGGACTCGGGTGTTACACCCATTGTAGACAGTCATGACTGCAGTCAATACCTTTTGCTTTGAATAACTTCAACCTTTAATTAAAATGTGACTGAAAGTTTAGAATAACCAAAAAGTGTTTTTTTTATGTTTGAGCATAAACATGTTACATTTAGTCTCAGTGTTGCCTCTGTGTATTCACACTGTTGCCGTCAGCTTATCAAATCTTTAATGTTAAGTTAATGATTCCCTACTGCAGCTTACTGAGCGCACAGCAGACAGGAGGAGTTCCTGTCATCACAAACAGGGAATTGGTTTGAGTTAAGTATTGATTTTGGATTAGTCACAATTCAAGAATCAATATCCAGTCAAGTTGTAAGAGAAAGATTCAAACCCCTTCATCTACAGTAGAAATTAACGACAAAGGTTCAAATAACTGGTATATGGTCTTTAGCCTGCCTTCAATAGAAAAAAGCTGTATTTAGTTGTGTGTATTAAAGACACTCGACAAGAGGAAAACCAACTGAATCTGCAGAGAGGACTGATACCTTCTCCAACAAGCAGAGGGAACTGGCTGCATCAGCAATCACCACAATCCATGGGAATCCTGTCGAACTAGTAGAGGAGTATAAGTACCTGGGTACCATCTTCGACAGCCTGCTGAAATTCGCCTCCAACACCGAGGAGATTCTCAGGAAATGTCAGCAGCGAAAATACCTCCTAAGGAAGCTCAATTCCTTTGGAGTCAGTAAGAACATTCTTCTGACCTTCTACTACTCCTTCATTGAGAGCATTATTACTTTTTCTATAACCTGCTGGTTCCACTCCACCACCCTCCAGAACAGAAACCGCCTGCAGAGCACGGACACAGTCTGCTCTAAGATCATTGGACTACCTGTAAGGACTTTGACATCGATTTATGAGCAACAGACAATCAGGCTAGCAGGTCGGATCATGCAGGACCCCTCTCACGCTCTCTTCCCAGCGTTTGAGTTGCTCCCCTCAGGACGCCGGCTTCGCTGTTCCTTTATATTGACATGCACCTTAACTGCCTCTGCTTTATCTGGTCCCATGCACTACATCACTTTATTCTATCCCTTTTATATCAGTATTCATACAGTTCTGCTAACTTTATTCCTGTTGTTTCTTATCCATCATTGCACTACGGTCACTTTATTTAACTAATTTTTACCTTTACAGTTATATTGTATATATTAGTTCTGTTGTTCCATTATTCACCATGCACCTTAATAACTTATCATTTAGTATTTGCCTACTTGCACATAGTTCTGTATACATATATTTATTTCTCGTTACTGCACATAGTTCTGGTTACATCTGTTTACATCTGTTTACATCCGTTTACATCTGTTTACATCTGTTAGTCCGATCACTGTCCACTTATATCTACTCTTTTATATTTTGTATTTTTAAGTCAAGTTTAAGCTTTAAGTTGTATTTAAATTGACACTTTCTATTTAGGTTAAAATGTTTCGTCTACCTGCACTGTTGTTAATTTACTGCTCTGTGTGCCTTGAATTGCCCCCCGGGGACAAATAAAGTTTTTTGAATTGAATTGAATTTGAATTGAATTGAAAGGCTCACTAGAAGGAAGGAATTGAACTCAAATCAAATGGGATGTGGGTGTGGGTGTAGAGAGACATTCTGTGTTTCCCTCTTCACTCTGATCTATCTAACTTCAACACATCATGTGTACAACATTATTCAGAGAGACGTTCACTTTCATTCTCACCACCAGCTGAGCATCCTCCAGCTGCCGACACTGAACATGGAGAACAAAGGGCTCAAACTTCAACACTGCGTCTGCACTGGACCTGGCCAGGCCGGAAATCTGAAAATTAAATACATCAATAATGTCACATTTTTATTTCAAATGTATATTGTTAAATCACATGAATATAACAGAAGTGGTATCATATCTTACCAGGTCCTCAGACTTGCATTTCTGGTGTGAGACAAACAACCAAACACAATTCTGTTTGTGGACATCACTGCTCCCTGACACCTGGAGAGAACAAGACAACACAGAGTGGATTCAGATGGGTTCTTTTTTTATATTTTTATTACCGGACAAATGCCAATCTGCCTGACTAATGTTGGAAGACGAAGAAAAAAAACATTAAAATCTTTTAATCATTTCACCTAATTATCATTTTTTCATGCCAAATGAAAAACTCCCACAGCATTTTGATGAGAAAAGCTCTCAGATACTTAAAATCTGAAAACAGAAAACTTCCCACCTCCTTGATTATCAAGCCTCTTAATCAGCCTTTGAGGACATGGCTGCAATGCACACTGTAACCAACCTCATAATAATTCAATTCAAATAAACTTTGATACAGTTTAATGAGACAGTCATATAGTGTGCCCATATTTTATGTTATAGTTGAACCATGAAGAGCCTGTTACTTGAACACTATAAGATTAATATATCATACGTCATTACATCCTGCTGCTTTAAATGAAAATAGCCACAGTGGAAAATTGAGGACGCATCACGATTCTAATCAAATTGTTGACAGGATAATCCTAATCAAGTGGAATCATGACACCAGTGAAGACGCACAGCCCTGCTGAGCGTTTAACCAAATATATAACCCTATACAGGACGACTCAGAGTGGGTTATATATGTCTGTTGGGTATCGTGCACTTTGGGTTCTTTTCTGTTGAATTGTATTTAATTATTTTTTAGTATTTTACATGTCTTATGTTCTTGCTGTTGTTTATGTTCTTCTGTGTTTGCTTTAGTTTGTTCTTGTTTTTGCTGTTTGTCAAAGCACTTTGTAAACCTGTGTTTTTAAAAAGGTGCTATATAAATAAAGTTTTTTTTTAATTATTATTATTATTATTATTATTATTCTTTATTCCATTTTTATAAAGACTAGAAATTAAACAATGACATGAATTCAGTCAAAATACAATCTACACATGTTACTCTTGTTGTCCTGATTACATATATCAATCTAAAGAAGGGTTAAAATGTTGACAGAACTGAAACCATAGAGTTCAAATCACACAGAATGTCCCTCCTGAAAAAACAGTTCAAGGTTTCATCAGAGTATATTAACAGGATATAGTATTTATGAAGAATTTTTAAATTACTGTCTTGACTTTGAAAGGGACACAGACCTTTTTTGAAGACATTTTTAGTCTTCAGAATAAAAAGTTACGTTGGGGAGATCTGTTGTATTTTTTGTAAACATTTACATATATGTTTATTGACACATTTTATGTCAGAAGTGTTGAAACCATGCAATGCAGGCACAAAGTATTTTGAGTGTTTCTTTACACCAAAAGAAAAGTTAATTTATATCAATGAGGGGAATAGCTTTTAAATTGTATTCTTTGAAAGGGAAAATGAAATGTGAAGATACAGCTGTGTCTTACTCCATCAATGAGGATGATTCTTCCAGAGCAGGAGCTGGTCGTGAAGTACTCCTCACAGCTGTTCAGCAGAATCACCACATGTTCAATATCTTCATCCACGCTGGATTTCTTACTGTGATCCAGTTTGTTCAGACACTGTTTCTTCCACTGCCTGAACGTTTTCTCCATCAGTAACTCTCAGCTGCTCCTCTCATGTCTTTGTGTTTCTCTTTGGTTTGAGCTGGAGGAGAATGAAATGTTCAAACTCGCAGGTCTTTAGTCACACACAAAGTTCATGCTTGGTCCGAGGTTTAAGTATATTTGCTTTCTGCAGGTTCCACTTATCCAAAGTGTTGTTTCTGCTTCCTCTTCTTCTTCTATGAATTTCCTCTTCTTCCGTTCGGTTTCATTGCTTTTTGCAACCAAAGCTGATGCATTACCGCCATCTACTGGGCTGTAACAGAACAACAGGGCAAAATAATTTCATTTTTTTTACCGATTGCAGTTCTGGTTTTATATTTTAAATACATTTAAATTATGTCTGCAGACCAAGTCAGTGTATCTTTTGGTCATCCGACTTTCCTTTCAGAAACGGGTATTAAAAAACCAAATAAACAGTGTTATTTGATTTTCATTTTAAAATCCCCAAATTTAAATTTAAATTCAAGGCTTTTTTTCTTTTTCATGGTCAAAAGGGATGAGATAAATTGAAAAAATAATTCGATTTTCATTTTCTATTTCATATAGGCTAACAAAAAATAAAATCACTAAAAAACAGAAATTAAAAAAAGGCCTGTTTCTTTATATTCTGAGACCGGATCTTGTCATTTACAATGAGGACGGTGCTGTGTAGAAGAAACAGTAGGCTATGGTTATGGGGGCGTAATCTACCGTGACACATGGACATGCAGCAGTACATCGTTTTCTGAAACAATAAAAGAGTGTGTCTCACTTTGGTAAAGTTAGAAAGATATTCACGGATCAATAACTCATCAGAACATTGCTTGGGAATTTTTGCTTTTATTCAATTTTGATGATTTTTTTTACTTACCAAAACCAACATAATATCAGTATTAATCTAAGAAATGTAGTATGAAAATGTGTAAAATGATTTTGCTGACACTACACCTCTGCTGGGTGAAGGGATTAAATATTTTTGTAGCATCTTTTTTTGGTGTTGTAATTTGCAGACGGTCCCTGCGCTTTTGATTATATGAAATAGAAAATGAAAATCGAATGATTTTTTAAAATTTTGCTCATCCCTTTTTGACCACGAAGAAGAAAAACGCCTTGTATTTCAACTTTAATTTTTGTATTTTAAAACGAAAATCACAAATCCACTCGTTTTTTGTTTTTTAATACCCGTTTCTGAAAGGAAAATCGAATGACCAAAAGATACACTGACTGGTCTTTTACCACTTAATACTTACAGTATAGAAAAGCAATAACTAATTGTGTCAAGAGCTTGAGACGATAGCTTGTGTGTTTGAGTCATCTCTCTTTACCTGTCTTAGCATACTTCTTTAACTCTCACAGTCCAAAATGCTGCTTCTTAGCTTCTGATGTAAACCTCATGTCTTTGCTCTGGCTTCAGATTAAATTCAAAACCCAGTTTAAAACTCTTTTGATTGTGTTTTTGCCATTGCAAGGTCAAACACTGGCTGCTTATATTGAAGATCTGCCAAAGCTTTACAGCACCAGCAGGACTCTCTTGAGTCTTCTGATCAGGGCTTGCTGGTTGTTCCTCATACCACACTCAAATCTAAGCTTCAAACCTTTGGAACTGTCTCCAATGGGAACTGAGAGCTGTGAAATCATGGGACATTTGAACAATCAGCTGGAGACCCATTTGTTTACACTTGCCTTTGTTTAATTTGTATTTGTCAGCTTTTATGAAATTATATTTAATGTCTGTTTCAATGTCTTAGATTTATCTTTAAGCTTTTTATTGTGATGAATCTATTTGTCTTATCTATTTATTTATTTTATATACAGTGTTTTTTTTCTGATAATCCATGGTTAAAACAACCATCCAGTTTGTCGTCTACATGACAACATATTGCAGCTTGTGGCTGAAGGCGATAACATGTGCAATGTTTTATGTCTTTGTGTCCTGAGGGCTGTGTGGCCCACATACTATAACAAACCGTATGTCTTTGTTTTTGCTAGAAGGGGGCATTCACACATATCTCATGAGCCCACCAGTGTGGAAAATAGGTTTTGAGCACACAGATGCCACACCCATCAATTGCTTTTGGTTTTCCCCCCTAAGGCTTTACATTCAGAAGAGACCGAAGGTAAAGTCAAGACCTAAACCTGCTGAAACAACAGTGTGGGTACACAGCAGGGTGGCAAACAACACTTTCTTAAAATATTATATCTGATATCTGACTGTACAAAAGGTGTGTAGGACTCTTTGGGACATAGTCAGTTCTCATCCTGCATCCACAATGCCACACACTGGTCTGCATCCATCAAGTCTGGCTAAGTGTATGATGAGTTTTCCAATGTTTTGCTGAAGTCTGTTCATCACTTTCTTGGCTAACATGAGATTATGCAACCTAAGAACTGAAAAAAAACATCTTTGACTGCAAAATCAAAACACGATTGATGAAATAAAGACAGCAGGATTGTTTTTCCTGACTAAGAACACTATACTTATATGAACAAGAAAATATTAGCAAAGCAGTAAGAAGTATACTTTTAATTCACAAGGGTCGCCAGTTAAAGGGATGCTGAGGGTGCTGTATGGAGGAGTTTCCATGTATAGTACGACAATCACTAAGATAAGATAAGATAAGATAATCCTTCATTTATCCCACAATGGGGAAATTTAATAAACTATTTAATAACACTATTTTTGCTGGTCAGATTAAAGATGACTTAATCAGATTGTCTAATATAGCTAGGCTAATCGCTGTCTGCGCAGATGTAACGCTAAAGTGATCACATTAAATTATACCCTTGAATCTACGCTACTGTGATTGGCTGAATAGGAAGTAGACATCTGATTGGCTACAGAAATTTTCCTGCTGAAAAACATGCATTTGTGAATCTAACCACGGCAGGGGAGTCTCAAAAGTCCCACACACAAATGCAGTGAGGTTCACAAATGATAAACAGTTTGTAAATGCAGACTGAACACTTTATATATTTGTGGATTTCTACTACATATATACAAAACCATAAATATTTGTGTGTGAATCAGAAATACATTTGTGAATCTTATTTTTTTATTTGTGGATTTGTTTTACATTTATATAGAATGAAATATATTTGGGTGTGCATTGAAATACATTTGTGAATCCTTCTGTGTGCATTTGTGAATATTGAGACTGATCTAACTCCATAGTGCTGCGGTCCCTTTAAAATCAAGCACAATTAAAAACCACCCTCTAATGGGATATGTGGATGTGTCATCTTGAACAGCCATCTGCCAAAACTGTGTTGGGGTTGAGAGGGAGTAGAGGGAGATGCAGAAAGAAAGAGACACAAAAACAACAATGTGTTACATGATACCTGTGATGCTTTTTTTGTTTCCTTCACTGTAGTAGTCTCTAACTGTTTATCATGCTTACTGCAGACTGATACAACTCTTAGCTGGTCAGAGCTTTTCCATAAGAATAACAGAATGTAGAGTTTTAGATGATTATTCTTTCAAAGCTCATGCTTTACAGACGAGCGAGAGTTAGGGTTTTGCCAACAAGCACATAAGTGGAAGGATGAAACAAAAACGTAATTTGATCATCTGTCATGGTGGGAGAGGTCAAATAGCTTTTTTGTTGTTCCAAGTGTTAAAAATAAACAGAAGAAAAAATAAAACTTATCAAATTTGTTTTTAAACTGTTCATAAAATGCTTTTCTTTGCGAACATGTAGGCCTATAATTTGTTATTTACCAAACATGACCAACAAAAAGCTTGTGGTGTTTTGAGATTTGATGATTTTTTAAACATGTTATTATGATTTAATTTGATTGTCAAAATATATTAATAATTATGAACAATTAATTATTCATATTACAAAACACAATTACTAATCTGATTTAATAATCACAGGGCACCACATCTTAAATCTTTAAATACAAATAATATTCTATAAAGATCTAATAAATACCTGTTTTAAAATGACTAATATTAATTATCATCAATATAATAATTATAATAGTGGATAGCTCCTTTTCAGAACTGTTATCGTCTCCAACACCTATTGACTGCAGATCGGTCCAAGCCTCAAATCTTATCGAACTCCATGGCTAACTTTGGTACAAACGAGAAATTGATCTGATAAATATGATTTAAACCAACTTGAAGCGGTTTCTGTAACACCATGTAATTGATCTCGTCTGTGTAATGGGTTGTAATAGCCAGTTGTGTCAAATGCAGCGCTAAAATCTAACTAAGCGGAGAGAAAAGTCCACTTAGTAGATCGTCATAGATAACTGGGCTGAGCCATAACACACTAAAACCCAATTAGACATTAAAGGACTTGTTGTTGTTTTGACCAAATCTAGCTTATGTCAATAAATAAAATTGTGGAAAAAGTCATTAAGGTACATTCCATTAAAAGCTTTATATGTGATTTTTTGATCCAGCAGATGTCGCCCTTGAGCACCAACATGAAACCAAAACAACTTGCGCTGCATTGTTGTGTTAGCATGCTAATGCTAGTGATCTTTATTATGCTCGTATCGTCACACTGCATGTAAATTTACCTGAAATGAGCGTGATCTAGAAACACAGTTAAGCAGTGAGTACAGTATGTTATTCTTCTTTTCTCTAGTCCCTCAATTAAACAACTTTTATACACGAGGGGAGGAGTCAGCCGGCCGTCCTGGCGATGTAAACAAAGTGAAGATAGGACTCTGAAAACATCACAGACAGTGGGACTCGGGTGTTACACCCATTGTAGACAGTCATGACTCACAGAGTTATTTTCAGAGGATATACTTGATTTATATTACATTTAAGTGTGAAAAATCACATAGAAAGACTTTAACCTGGGTAAAGTTGTCCATTATCAGACAGTTGCCTCCCCTTTCACTGCAACCCTCCCAAACACATGTGTAGGCTACTGGGAAAGGGACAAAGGGTGTCAGTGAGCAAGGTGTCCAGACTGAAGTTAGTCATTCTGATGCGTCTGTTCTTCAATAACTTAGGAAACATCAATGTAAACGTGTTTGGGATGTTCTTGCAAAATAAGAGCCAGACTTGCAGGAAACTAATATGTGTGTGCAATACCTACAATACCCAAGGACATTCAACCCTGAAAACACCATTATAAGCAGACTTGAATATATTTTGACTTCATAAATGTATGTCAACAAAGATAGATATTTATAGAGATAAACTTGAACTCAGTCACACTCAATTGT